CTTAGCTCATTGTATGATCACTTCACGAGGATTACGAAAGCGCACTTAAGATCAATCAGTTCAAGGTTTTTGCAGAACCTACACATGATGAAATACACTATGCATTACACATAATAATACACACTGGTTTAGTGAATAGTTATTTATGTAGATCTACGGTTTAAACAACAGCCAGAGTTCATCGTATTTAATTAGGTTAATTTCACTTTATTCATCTAATAATAGTATTTGTGGTGTAAAATTTTCTCACATAGAGTTATTAAACATTAAGGTTATAAACAAATGTATAATTAATAAAACCGACATGTATATGACTTGGAACGACGACCGGAGTACGTAATTCATATATATAGACTTGCCATTTTTAGAGAGAGAGAGAGAGTGATGTTATATTGAATGCTTTATTAGTAATAATGTTGGGAAGAAATGTTGGGGAAAAACAGCAAAGGTGGCCGGCAAATTTAAAGTTGGCTGCTGCCTTATGTCCGGTTAGCGGCCAAAAGTGGGGGACACAATTTTGTTTCATATTTTTGCTGCTATTATTACTACTTAATTCATCCTTAATTATTCACTAATTATATATTATTCAGTGTAGTGTATATATTTACTATAGCTAGATTTTCTACTGTGAAAGTTTGTTATATGTTGCAGAGAATTTGTATTAATGGCGGCCACAGCCCCCACATGCATCATAATACTTCTGAAAACTTGTATATTATACTTTAATAATGAAGACATAATGTAAGAGAATAGGCGTGTATGTATATGTTGTACGTATATTTAAATGGCCTTTAAGAGATTCTCCTGAATTTGTATCTTCGTTTTTTAATTCATTATTAAATGAGTTAATTGAAAATTTGTTATTGGCTGAAACTGAATATAATGCGGGTGAATGGTGATAATGGAAAGAGAGTGAATAAGGTCAAACACTAAATAGCGTTTAAAAATTAAATTATTTATAAACTTAATTAATTATTACTTAATTTGCAAGTTGGCAAGAGCACTTAATTGCTAGTAGTGGTGGTCCAATTAGAAACATAATAAAGTAGTGTCTGCCTCAAAATTAGTGACACAAGAATTGGACATACATATGAGTTATTAAGTGTTCATCACTTCATCTTGTAAGTTGTAACACCTCTTAATTATGTGTTAGCCTAATTACGTGTGACATGATTCGAATAATCTGAGTCAATTAACACATGTTTACTTGCTGAAATTACGAGGTCATTTTTTACGGGACTAGTTATGTGTTTCGCAACTTTCCTTAAGAGTGATTACTTTATAATTGTTATACTATTATTTAAATTAATTTGAGCTTCCAAGGATATTTTTTAAAGATAAGCTCAACGCCTAATAATTAACGTGTATGTATAATGTATTGCGTAGGCATATATGTAGTTTATCTTCTTCATTATCCTTAAAAATACATTTGAAATAATACAACTAATTAATTTGCTGCAAAGAAACAAATACCTAATTATTAATGGCAGATAAGAATAAATGGCTTTATCTAGAGCTGCCTAACATAGACGAAATATTCCCTTATTTACGTATTCTGAGAAAGACTAGTTCGTTATGATCACAGTGTTGAATGTTTGACATAAATATATATATATATATATATATATATATATATATATATATATATATATATATATATATATATATATATATCTAAAATAAAAAAATAATAATTTATCAAAAAAAAAAATGAAATAAAAAATAATTAAACTAACTAGTCGATCAAGGAAGTTATATGTTACATCGGGTATTTATCAATCATAAATAACCATCCACTAAGCAGAAATACAATGTGTGTAATTATATGTAGCTCTACGATTAACAAATACCCGGCCAGTATTAATCACCGATATAATTTTCCGGTCAACTATGGGGATGTTTGGTTATGTTTCCAAAATGAATTTCTAGTTTTCAAAATTTCTGATGGAAAAAGTAGATTATTGGTTTTTGTGTAGAAAATGGGAATATGTTTGGATGAAGGTGTATTTTTAGTTTTATGTAGGTGTAGAAATGAGAATATGTTTGGTTGTGGTGAATTTTCTCTACGAAAGTACGTGCAAAAGTAGAATATAATGATTGATGATGATGATAGTGATGATGATGATGATTATTATAATTATAATAATAATAATAACAATAATAATAATAATAATAATAATAATAATAATAATTATTATTATTATTATTATTATTATTATTATTATTATTATTATTATTATTATTATTATTATTATTATTATTATTTTATTATTTATTAGTATTATTATTACTATTACCATTATTATTATTATTACTACTTCTACAATGAATATTATTTTTAATAACAATAAAAATATTATTATTATTATTATTATTATA